AGTGGTGGAACTTCATTTGAGGAACCATGTGAAGATGTATGATGCAAATTCGAAGATAGCTCTCCATGAGCTAACCATTGAGTATATCCCTTAATAAACCCTTTCCATATCAAGTGTGATTGGCATGCTCTCTCGTGACAAATACCCCATTTCCACACCTAATGCATGGGCATAAAATCATCTCCCCTATACTTCCATTTGTAAATGCAAAATCAAGAAAATCTTCTAAACCAGCTTTATACTCATCACTTGATCGTGACATACTCATCCATCTTTTATCCATATTCCCATAGATTTTAATTATAAAAAAAAAACTTCATTAGCATCTACAAGATAATTCTACCTAAACTATTACTGATTTTTGCATCAAACATTTACTTAGATAAGAAAACTAATTTCAACGAGATTAATAGAAGACACAAATCACTCATGGAATATTACAACAGTAAAGCTACCAAAAGGAAGCTTTTTAAAAGAATTTTACCAACCCAAAAAATGTTGTTTTTAAGGCAATTTATTATCTAAGCCTATCAAACTTCAAAACAAATCAATTTGATTAAGTGAGACAACAAGAATCAAGAAAATATTGTAGCCTACAAAGAAATTCAGGACTGCACCCATTGACAGTACAACCCATGGTGGGGTGACTTCATTGATTAGGCCTGATTTTCATAGTTTCTTTATTAGTTGTTAGTTTTTGCATGCACTGATTTTCTTTCTTAATTTAATTTAATGGCTACTAGCAAAGGAAAAGGCAAGATTCATTGGGATTCAGGCACTTAACTAAATACATGATCATGGATTGCCACAAAATTTTGATTCAATCCAACAGCAATATATGTGCGTGTGTTTGTGTGTGAGAAAAGGACTATTAGTTGCACCAAATGAAGAGGACTATATATATATATATATATATATATATATCAATAGTTAATACTCTATGCTTATTAGCACTTTCCCAGCAAGTGACCTGTTCGTGCTCTAATGGTTAGTCACAAAATCACGTTAAGAGGCTTAAGCAAAATTTTCTTTTATTTGCCTTAATCAGAAATAAACATTCCGTGACAGAAAAGTACAACATTTGAGACTTATAAAAGTACCTAAGCAAAATAGAAAAGAACCAAGTCAAGAATCTGTCAAAATTTGCTAAATGGTGATGATTCTGTTAAGCTAACGATATTGGCATTTTTGAATAAACTTACATGCTACATTTCTAGTCCCTAAATGCCTAATTTTTATGGTAATCTTTAATTTCTGAATTAGTATGATAAACCACAGCATCATTTCATCACAAAAACCCATCACATTTTCACTTTCACTTCTAGTATTGCAGCCTATAAAGCCTATCGCATTTTCACTTCTTGACTTTTAAAATTTCAATATGCTCACAATCTCTGCTATTCTCTGCTTCAAACACCAACGAAGTCATGCCTCTACTACCAGAAGATGGAAAAATAGAAAATAAATACTACTGCTGCTATTACTAATGCTACATTTTGACTACCCAGTCACAAAGACGGGAATGGAATATCCAGGTGTTCTAGACTTTTGAGTAATAAGAACTAATCCAAAAGTATCAAAACAAAATGATATCAAAAGGAAAGACAGCAGAAGTTCAATTCCAGATTGTAAGACACAAACTATCGAACAGATAGTAGACACAATGATGCTATGTATGTAAGATGCACTTTGCATTAGAATCCTACGGGCAAAGCATTCTATATCAAGTTCAAAAAGAGCAGCACCCAAATTTACTGCGAGTTGGGTGATGATTTTTAGTAAGTCACTTGGCCGAGTAAGGCACCGCCTGGGCACCCCCTCCGTCACCCACCTCATTTCCCACGTAGTCCCCGGAGAAGAAATAAAGCAATAAAAAAAAGCTATCAATTTTGTCTAAAATGTATAGGTTACCTGGTAGTAATCTTCCTTCTGATGTTCCTTCAATGTTGTAAGTAGATGTTCCTTCATATATAGGTTCAGTTGTGAGAGGGGTGAAGGATTTTGGCTTTTTACAGAGAGAGTTAACTTGATTGAGGGTTTTAGGATGAAAAGAGTAAAGTTTATTGCACATTGGCGTACTTAGAATTTTTCCCAAAAAAAAAAATGGCACTGAAGTGTAGCGCCATTCCCTTTCCGGCTTTTGTTTTTTTTACTTTTCACATATATTTGGACAAGTTAAAGTGAGACGACGTCATGCTCGTCATTTTCTTTGTCATAATAACATTCCCTACTGCATGTTACATTAACTTTCTGTTGTGATACTTTTAGTAAAATATCATATTAAGTGTGTGACTAAAGGTCATTTTTGTAGTAGTCTTCTATGAATTTTCTCTCCTTTCCTGACTGAAGAAGAGGGAAGATGTGATTCTACAAAATCTAAATGTATCATAGGATGGTAATAAGAATTGCTTCTGCAACACAGATTTACAGGAGTAATAATGGCCAAATTTCCGTGGCATTGCAGACGTTACAATGGAGTAAAAAATTCAAGAGGCTGATAATAAATTTCCATAGATGACCAAATTTCCGTGGCATTGCAGACATTAACATGGAGTAAAAAATTCAAGAGGCTGATAATAAATTTCCATAGAAACAACAAATTCGCAACAATGATTCTAGATCAGTTCAGTTCAATAACATCTGCTCCATCAAGCGTATCAACTTAGAATTTCTAAACGGGAGAAATCTCTCTTGCCTGCAGAATTCAAGTTATAAAGCTCATGTTGAGTTACTAATATATTAGTAATTCTCACCCGCACAGAGTAGCAATCACAACATACAAATTTCTCTTTGACATTTCACCAAACATCTTATATGCATTCACAAATTAATCACATTTAACTTAAACGCTTGGTCTCAAATCCTTTCCTAGATGTTTCACATGGCTATTAAGCATATTTTACCCGTAGACAATCAAAACTACAACCATTTCCTAGATGTTTCAACGGACATTTTCGGCCCCAAAATTGCAATAAAATTTTCAAATTCTCAGCCTTGATTTCCCAAGAAAATCTTGACAAACAAAACAAATGAAATATAAATAAATTACATCAATATAATCAAACGATTTCAAGAGAACATGATGATCTAACCTCGTCACTGCTATTTTTCATATGCTCTTTGGCTGGCTACCACCGACGCTAACCCTTTTGTTGTGTCTGCATATGGCAGCACTCAAACCCAACTGAACGATGAGAAAGGATAGAGGGAAAGTGTGAACTAAAGATGAAAATTTTGAAGTGAGAAGATTTATTCAATTGTAACAAAGAGAAAGTATGGATCAAAGTGGAAACCTTTGCCTGAGAATTCAATCGTATCATTGGAACTGAGAACTGAATAAGAAGAAGGTAGATGACTTTAAAGAGAAAGGTGATACCCAAAACCGTTTTTAGGAACCCAAAACCGTTTTTTTACTTAAATATGTACATTTTTTACTTTTAGTATTAGTAAGTTTAATTTAAACATAAGTAAATTTTATCAAATAATAAGTAAATTAAATTACTCAAAGTGTAAATTTCTGTTTTTAACTAAAACTTATCTTTCAGGCATATACTTACTAGTTTTAATTAAAAACTTACTAAAGTTAATATTAATTATTTTAATATAATATTTAAAAAGTCGCTAAAAGATTTGATCTGTCACTAAAGGTAATAGAAACATATAATAGCAGGTTTCCCCAATATCGTTACCATAACGATAGGCACTGTAGCACTGTCCTTGAGAAATATCTTTCATGGATAGCATCTCTTTATTCTTGGGTTATTATCACTTTACCCCCTTGACATTTGGTACTACTATCAATTTCCCCCTTAACGTTAACTTTTAGTCACTTTATCCCCAAAACTAACTGTCAAACTTAACGGGGTTGGCTAATTAAAATGAAAAGATATGTTTAACCCTTAAAATTATTATCACTTTAGCCTCATAAAATATAGTCTCATTATCAATTTACCCCATAGAGTTATTTTTTTAGGCAATTTATCCTACCATTAAACCAACTTAGCAAGTTAAAAAACTTTAGAAGAAAATACCCTCCTCTTTGCATAATAAAAAATTTAAAGTGACTATTCTCCTTTTTAGTATTTAGAAAAAAAGTCAAAATATTAATTTCTTTTTCTTGGCAATCTTATTAATATTGAAAAAAATAGAAAGATGGAGATGGAGAGGGGGAGGGGGAGGGGGAGAGGGAGAGAGAGAGCTCAATTCTTTTTTTAAAAATTACAAATAAAAAAGAATTAAATATTTTAATTATTTTAAAATTATTTCACTTTTTTGTTTACCACCAAATTCCAATCCTAATCTCGACAATCTTAAAGTAACACGATAATGTTAAACTTTTATTTATTTTCGTTTTTTGCAAAATCTAATTTTTTGTCTCCTTCTTTCCTATCCCTTTTTCTTTTCCTAGTATTAATAAATGTGAAAAAAGGAAATTTGAGAAAATCCTTTTATTTTTATGTTTTTCGATCTCTTAAAGTGAAAAAAAAGAAAGAATAACTATTCCAACTTTTTTTTAATTATATATAAAAAAGGTAAATATATCTAAAATATTTTATCATACTAGTTAGATTAACGATGAGGTAAAATGCCTAGAAAATAATGTTAGGAATTAAAGTGATTGTATCACTATAATCTAATGAATAAAGTGATAATAACAATGTAGAAGTGATAATAACCCTTTATTCTTTCCTATCAGTTAGTTCTATCATACTGATTTCTAAGTGTCTTACAGTCACTGAAGTCTTCTAACTATGGATGTACATTGAACTTTCCGTAATTGCAAATTTTTTTCCTTCATTAATTTCTGCTTAGAATGTTCAATTGCTTGAAGCTCACAAATGCCATTGATCTTCAGACAATCAATTTCAGAAACTAAGAAGCTGTGTTTTTTCTCAGAGACCCATTGCAAGTGTAGTTGCAGAAATCTTACAACAAAGAAAGTAAGAAAGTATAATTTTGTTTGATCACCTATATAATTGGTAGTTTGCATTTCAAAAGTGTCACAGTAGCTGAAAAAACAGTGCATAATGAAACCTGACAGATGCATCTGGAGAAAAGGCTGTTCTTTGGCCTTTTCCTTTGAGAAGACATAATCCAGGATCCAACCTCAGAATCTGTTTCACCATTTCGACGTTCCCCATGATTGCAGCTACATCTAGAGGCCGAAAACCACCTCTGTCAAATTCTCTAGCCAGCTTCTTGTTGTGCTTCATAAGCTCAATCACAAATCTAACATGTCCACCTTTAATTGCAACATGTAGAACAGACTCCGGAGGATTACCAAATGCAACATCATCAAGAAGGGATGGATTTTCTTGAAGCATTTTGTTTAGTATTTCAGTATCTCCCTTGTGAGCAGCATCAATTACCCTTTTTTTGCTCTCCATTCCTGAGGTTATTACTTTCTGAAAGAACTAATGATTTTTTTTTTTTTTGGTCAAAACATAGGATGAAAGAACTAACGATCTGACAGGCCGAATTTTTGGGGGAAGGTCATGCACAGCTTTGCATCATTGGCTGATTAAATAAGATGAATTAGTATTTACTTGTACTACACTTTGTTGATTTTGCATGGTCTGCCGTTGAATAATTCCATTAGAAAATTTGGGTTTAGGAACCAGTAATCCAATCACATTCAAAAGCGTAGTAATTTGCACTTGACATAATCAGAATTGATATTTCCACCAAGCATATCTCTGATCAAGGATGTTACTGTTCAAAGACTTTCAGCAGTTGAGCAACCAAATCCATTTCTCATTTATGTATCATTCTCTTGTTCTTGGGAAGATAAACAGAAAAATTATTGCATTTTCAGTCTTATATGGTGCATGTGTACCTGATAGACACAGAACAAAATAAGACCAAACTACCCGATCACATATATTGATTAATGTGAAAATTTCTAAAAACATCGAAGTTAAGTAACATCATAGTTAGTAACATCTCCATGTTATACGAGTTGATGTATGTGCCTGTCTTACAGGGAGAGACAACGGTTTCCATCATTCCAGAAGCAGTTTAGGATCAAGTAACATTTCTTGCTTGCATCTTCTGAAATACTTCTCAGTCAATACCAGGTATTTCATTCAACAATAGCTTTTAGAAAATGTATGGCCTCTAAAATTGGATTGGTGACAGCTCAAATGTGAATCGAATCCACGCTTTTTGCCCCTACCAGGTACAACTGCCACGGTTGCTTAGTAGTATATGCTAATTGAATTGTCAAAGCTGAGAATGTGTCAATGCAAAAGAGGTTTTCTTTGATTTAGTATCAAAATACGTCGTTCTCAATACTACATTGAATGTTCAAAGAGAGACTCGCGTGTCATGAACACGTCTATCACCTGATACACAATACCTAAATTTATTTCTTCATAAAAAGCTACAATAAATTGAATTTGGTAAATAATGGATCTTCTGTAATTAGAACCATTTTAATCTGTGGCATCACGAGTTCTGTAGCCTTAATAACACTACCTTCAATGAAAGTAGCTCAATGACTTGAAGCAGAAAACAAATCGTCATGAGAACTGGAGAACTTCCATCTTCAATCAGTTGCACGGCTTGTGCATGGTAGTCTAAACTTTTGTAACTTGCAATGATTCCTCATTATCATCGTTGCTATAGGTATCAACATCGGCAGAACTATGGATACAATAGTGAACCACAAAGTGATGTCCTTATCTGGTGATATTGTAGCCATGGAAGTATCATAAGTTACCAAAAGCGCAAAAAGAGAGACTTGCAACTCCATTTGTAAGGGAAATCCAGCAATGAGAACGTTTATCATGTAAGTGGACATAAAAAATCCAATTGAATTAAAAATCAGAAAAAGACCATAAGAAATCTTATTGTGAGTGCCCATTACTGCTTCTCCAGCTTTGTGGGGTTTGGTGGATGTGGCGTCTGTGCCTGTACCTTGACTAGGCAAAGAGTCGTCTTGCCAAACGCCACCGGGTGGACTAAGCACAGCTTGATATGTTGCTGTTGCAATTAACACAGCTAACACAAGCAATGTGTTTCGCACTTCATTTGGAGAATCTCTAAGCTTGTCAAACTTGAAATAGTGTAGCAACTTCTCTGAGGGAGATTGAGCACGCGCTCTCCTTGACTGGAAAGGTGATGGACTCTGAGTTGTGACGACCAAATTATCAGATAATGCTCCATTTTGAGGTGACTGCAAGTCTGCCGCCGCTCTAGCCCCAGCTGCTTTGAGCATATCCTCTATTTCTCTATCACCCCCTTCAGACAGTAAGCTATCAATAGGCGTAAAACCTCTCTTGTTCAACGAGTTGACCTCCACTCTGCCCTCATGAAAAACATTTTTGTCGAGCATGAAATCGATTACCTGCTAACATAGTGTAATTTCAGTTACTGAACTTTAAAACATCACGAGACAATGAACAAATATTCAACGCGTTTGCGACTCACCTCATACTGCTTTCTCGAGACAGCAAGATGCAAAATGGTGTCACCCTGATGGTCCTTCTTATTCAAGATCTCCCAATTGTTTGACCGTATCAGGTACTGTACCAAGAATTCAAAGGCTTCGAATTGGTTGTTCTTTAAAGCCAAATGAAGGATTGTCTCACCTCTTCCAGTCACATACCCAACTGACTCGGAGCAAGCAGAAAGCAGTTCGTCGATGACATGAATCCTGCCTTTAATAGCAGCATAATGAAGCGGGATTCGTCTCTCTTTTCCCTTGATCAGGCACAGAAAGCAATTTACCTGCAAAAGCTCTTTCACAATTTGTATATCCCCATTACCTGATGCAATATGCAAGGGGCTAAATCCATCCTGGTTGAGCTCTTCAGCAAACTCCGGCCTCAACTTTAAAACTTCTTTCACAAAATCAGTATGGCCTCCTATGCAAGCTATGTGCAATGGAGTCTCGGAACCTGCCAATGGAGCAGCCCTGAGTAGAAGGGCATACTCTTTAATGAGATTTTGCAAGTCTTGAACATTTCCTGTCTGAGCAGCTTCGATGAGCCTCCTATCCATCCTCTTTAGGTAATCTTACATCTGGGGCCCTGAATGATTCAAGTTCCTTTATTTAGTTTTTGCCCTTTGGGTCTTGGAAAATTCTGGGGGAAATATTTCAACGTTTGCGGGGGAAAATTCTCGATTAATATTCAATCTCTTTACTTTGACCTTGAAAATAGAGTTTGGAGACAAGGAATTTGCGTCATAGAGGAAATTAGGCTGCTTGGTCAAGGAAGGCTGGAGATTAGCCTGATCGCAATACATCAAACTGTTAACGAAACATTGACAACTTACTTCCAAGGTCAATATATAGCCTCTATATAATTCAGCAGTGATCCAATCCCAACCACTTCTCTGGGCCGACTCCTGTTTTCAGCAGTGTGAAAATGGTTATGGTCCTCCACTTCACAATTTTGAATTGAATAGGACCTCAAGATTGGAAAGTAGAGGACATTGGCCTCTGCTGGTTGATAAATCCTTAGTCCTTACAGAAAAGTATTCACAGAAAAGTATTCTTGACCGAAGGCATTCTGCGTCGAGATTAGTAAGGGGAGGAGTGCAACTCGTCTCTCTCCTCTCCATAATAGCACTCAAGCTGCTGCTGGTATGATCTCAAGGCTGATATTGATACACAGGCGGATGCCAGCAAGGCAAATACCACCCTGGAGTCTCGTAGCATAATTGTCAGCACTCTTGATGGAAAAATGACTTAGTGATGACATTGGCTCTAGGCTCAACCGTGTTGAGGACCCGCATAAACACCATTTGCAAAACCCGTCCAATGCATTAAAAGCGTACAAGGCAGTACTAAATTACTTTAAAGCATGAAAACTCCTGTACAAAACCTGTCCAATGAGTTAGTTGATCTCTGATGGCAAACCATGCTTCAGCGAAGCAACCCTGCAAATGATGTGAGGAACTCTGAAGCAAGTACAAGCCCCTTAAATCCTGTAAGACTCCAACTTGGGCAATGCGAATCTTTGGACTTTAAAGATGATTGAACCAATCTCTATAGGCAATGGAGAGTGACTTCTTCTCACGTTGGCTGGCAAGAAAAACATGCAAAGAAGGAAATTAAATTGCAAGAGCAATACCTGATGAGACACTAGTTGAGCATCAGAAAATAACAAGAAAAGGCAGACAGCACCACTATCAAGTTCTCCGGGTTCATCATGGAAAAAGCCCACTCCTCAACTTGGAACAGATGCTAAAAGCAATAGGACTCGCAGCTCTAAAAGAAGACGTTATCATGTCGGGCAATATGACTCGCAGCTAAATAGTGTTGGCTTGCAGCATGAAAATCCCCTTTGCCACCAACCAGAAATGTTATTAATTTGGTTCATCAAACATCCCAAAACCATCATTACATTTAACAACTACCAAGAAATAACGTTTATCTTTGTGCATAGTCAACGGCCCTAACAAAATAGAACCATCAGCATATCAGGTTGACCAAACTTGCTTACAACAACTTTATGATGCCAACATTGCACAGCCAAAAGTACCAGTGAGTTTGTGTGCGGGGTGAAAGAGAGTGAGAAAAGGCATATGAGAGAATTAAGAATATGAAGAGCAACTGAAGCATCAAATTCAAGTTGTTCATTTCCTTCTCTTTTTTTTAAACTAGAAATAGGTCTCGTACTTTGCACTAATTATAATATCATAAAATATAATATTTTTTATACATTAAAAGCTATTTGTGAAAATTATTTAACAAATATAACATTTTCACATTTTCTATTATTTATTTAATTTGTTATCCTCTTTAATTAATTATCTTTATAAACCATTATTTTAAAAAGAAAAAAAAAGTTCACAAAATGTTATATCTACAAATTCATATAAAATCTCTAGAGAATTTTTGATAAATGAGGATACATTTGAGCGCTTTAAATTTAAAATAATGGTTTTAAAGACACTTAAAAAATAAAGAAGATCAAAACTAACATTTAAAAAATAAAGATTTGACCAAATATGAAATGATTTGAAAATATGAAAATATTAAATTTGTAAAAATAATTTTCACAAATAAATTTTAATCATAGTTATTAAAACCAACCCAAACATCACCAGGCAAGAGGACCGGGTTGGCGGGTCAGTGGTTCAATGGGTCACATTATATATTAAAAAATATATAATATAATTCAAAAAACATATAAATTATATTATAAGTACAAAAATTCTTAAATGCTAACAAATCATAACCTATTCATATTTATAGTTCATACACATAAGCCATACCCACATATGTTCCATAGTTCATGAATTCATATTGCTATTATACACAAATATAAATGATAAATCTAAGCGCCAAAAAAAGAAAGAAACCCTAATTTCCAAATCCCTTTTCAATTTTTCTCATCTAATTATCAAAAAGATGACAACGCCCATGCTGGTGTAG